ATGATAGCCATTCAACATTTTTTTTTCATGGGTTTAGATGCTATCTGCATATTCTCTTTGGTGAAATGTCTATTCCTGTATCTTGTCTGTTTTCTAACTATATTGTTCTTTTACAGTTGAGTTTTGAGAGTTCTTTATATATTCTAGATGCAAGCCTTTTGTTGGCTATGTGGTTTGCTAATATTTCCTCCCCCATATTTATGAAAATTTTCTTCTGTCAGTTGGACTTAAAAGTTGCACTGTCGGGGCCAGCCCGGTGGCGCACTGCTATAGTGCACCGCTTGGGAAGCGCGGTGGCGCTCCGCCGAGGGTTCGGGTCCCACATACAGACCGGCCGCTCACTGGCTGAGCAAGGGGCGGGAGCAACACCGAGGGTTGTGATCCCGTGGCCGGTCCCGGTCCGGTGCGGGCGCAACACTGAGGGTTGCGATCCGTTGCCGGTCACGAAAAAAGACAAAAAAAAGGAAAAAAAAAAAAAAAGTTGCACTGTCTACTCCCATAAAGTCCAATTATGATCTTGACGTCAATAAATTCTGAAAACCAGTCTTCTTTACCGTTGCCTTACTGGTGACCCAAGGAAAGGCAGGACTATTACAAGTGAACATTATTATTTATTAAAAACTTGGGCCGACCCCATGGCGCACTCGGGAGAGTGCAGCGCTGGGAGCGCAGCGCCGCTCCCACCGTGGGTTCGGATCCTGTATAGGGGTGGCCGGTGCGCTCACTGGCTGAGTGCGGTGCGGGCGACACCAGGCCAAGGGTTGCGATCCCCTTACCAGTCACGAAAAAGACAAAAACAAAAAACAAAAAAAACCATTATGAACAAAGTACTGGACTAGGATCTAAAGGGGTAGACTTTAAAAGCCTCTGTCTTCAGAAGGCTAATTTAGCAGAGGAAACAGTTAAATAAATCAAATACTAACAATCTGGCATGCCAAAGTGACAAGATAAAGTTCTCCCAGGTTGCTACTATCACAAGGGAGGAAATCTAAGATTAGGCAGCTTGGGTAAATCTTCCTGGAGAACACCTTTCAAGCCCAGTTTAAGGAAACATAGCTTTTCTATGGTTCATAGCAGATCCTTTTCCAATATTGCAGGGATTGGAAACATATTATCCAATCTCTCTGAATTTAGTCCTTCTACTCTCCTTTCACCATAAATTAATAAGAAAGGCATAAATGTAGAGAAGTTTTTTTGATGATTTTCTTCAGGGAGTCCCATAGCTACTCATATTTGTGTGTGTGAGTGTGTGTGTGGCCTCTTGCCATTTTGCAATACCTAGCACTTGCCAGTGAGCTCTACAACAGTCCCCAGATGAATCTGAGCCCTTGTGATATCTTGACACCTTTTCTGTAAAATGGGGATATGAGAATGTTTACTTCACAGAGTATGTGGATTAAATTATAAAAGTAAAACTCTTGGAACAGTGGTTGGCACATAATAAAACACAATAAATATTAAGTATTGTTATTATCATGATGCTAAATCCATTCATGTTGTCCCGTCATAATAAGGCTCAAGTTAAATAACAGCAAAAACGTGAAGGATATGTCAATTATCTAACTTACCTAATGAAAGGAGACTGTAAAGACACCTTGACATCACCATAAATGCAGAATGGCCTTATCTTCACATAAGAAAGTCTGAGGTGTTAGAGAAGGTGTTAGCCATCATGAAAGTTTCAAGGGGAAACAAAAGGGTAGTGAGGGCAAACAAAAGCCTGGGACAGAATCGGGGCACCTACTTCAGTGGAACATCCAGGATTACTCATTCTCAGTTTTTTTTTTTTAAAAGATGACCGGTAAGGGGATCTTAACCCTTGACTTGGTGTTGTCAGCACCACGCTCAGCCAGTGAGCGAAACGGCCATCCCTATATGGGATCTGAACCCGTGGCCTTGGTGTTATCAGCACCGCACTCTACCGAGTGAGCCACGGGCCGGCCCATCATTCTCAGTTTTTTTTTTTTAAAAGATGACCGGTAAGGGGCTCTTAACCCTTGACTTGGTGTTGTCAGCACCACGCTCAGCCAGTGAGCGAAACGGCCATCCCTATATGGGATCTGAACCCGTGGCCTTGGTGTTATCAGCACCGCACTCTACCGAGTGAGCCACGGGCCGGCCCATCATTCTCTGTTTTTGAGCATAGTTTCTAGGTCTTTTCTAAATAATAGAGAAATCTGAGTAAGAGACTGAATCAGAATTGGTGTTAATGGGCATGCTGCCAATATGGATTTGGCCATCATATCTTGGGCACAAGTGGTGATAATCAGTTTTGTACCCCATGAATACTCATAATCAATAAAAAGAAAATAATGGTTTTAAAAAGGTTATAAGCATCACCTCATCTAATCTTTAAATTTTAATCTTGTCTGTAATATATGCTCAGTGCTACAACATAGTTATTATTTCACAGATGAGGAAACTGAGGCTCAGAGAAGCTAACCCCCTCACTTATCCAAGATCACATGGTCAGGGTCAAAGCTGGATCCCAACCAAGCTCCAGAAGACTTTCCCTACACCAAAGAACCACACTTGCTGCTGATTTCCTTCCCTGACTTCATTATTTTGCCTAACACCAACAGCATAAATTGTTTATTCATAATTGCCCTCACTAAAGCCACTTTTCTCATTCACTTAGGTGAAGACGTTAATGTTTTATTAGTGAGAAGAGAAGACGGTTAAAAAGAGTTTTTGTCCCTAATTGAAATGATTCTTAGGATAAAAAGATTGAAAAACATTAGGCCTTACTTAAAACAGAGAGCTAACATCAGAATTTGTGGAAATGGTTCAATTCAACAGTGAAGAAATCAATTTTTTTTCTCCTTTTCTTCTCATTACTTATATTCATCCTTTATTTCGAACTTGCGTTGTCAAACCTGACAAAAACAATTTATACATAAGTTACACTTAAAGAATGTCTAGAAATGTGCTCTGCAATGTGGTAGCCACTAGCCACATGTGGCTCTTGAGCACTTGAGATGTGCCTAACCCCACCTGAGATGAGCCATAAGTACAAAATAGTAAGAAAAAAAGAGAAACTATGTCTCATTTTGTGTGTGTGTGTGTGTGTGTGTGTGTGTGTGTGTGTGTGTGTGTGTGTGTGTGTATCTATGTACATATAGATAGGCGGCTGGCCGGTAGAGGGATCGAACCCTGGTCCTTGGTGTTATCAGCACCAAGCTCTAAACAACTGGGCTAACAGGCCAGCCCTCATTAATATTTTTACACTAATAAACATGTTAAAATAATACCACTTTTCATATACTGGGTTAAATAAAATGTATTAAAGTTAATTTTACCTGTTTCTTTTTACTCGTTTAATATGGCTTCCAAAAAATCTATAATTACATAAGTGGCTTGCATTTGTGCCTCGCATTGTATTTTTATTGGGCAGCACTAGTAGAAGATGAAAAAGGGGAGAATTGCATTGAAATATAGTGCATTTTCTTAAAATTTCTGGAGGGGAACAGAAAAGGGAAGAGATTGAAGCTTGGTCACAGGTGTGACCTACTGTGAATCCAAAAGGGCAGGGGGCGTGTTTTGATTCTGTTCTTACCCCCTCCCCCGCTGCTAACTGAGCAGGTGGCAGAGTTTCTTCCAGGGACCCTCTTCCCCAGCGGTCCTCGGCCTGGGCCGGTGCCGGCTCATTGCATACACCTGCGCGCCGACGGGGGCGCGCGTCCGCGAACCCTGGCGCCAGGTCCACGCCCCCTCCCCCCGTATTTTTATTTTCCGGGCATCAACCGTCAGTCTCGCACTTCTCTTCAGAGAGCCACGAAGTAGGTCGGGCTCGCTTGGGGTAAGCGTCGCTCTCTTGCCCCCAGTCTGGCCCGGGGCGTCGAGATGTCCCCACCTGCGGCCGGCGGCGAGCAGGGCAGTCCCGTGA